TTAAAAGGTGCTTAACTTTACTAGTGATCAGGGGAAAATAACTTAATGGGATGAGATTGGATTTTTCATCCAAAATGCTGACAAAAATTAAAAAGAATGACAGGGTCCAGCATGCCAGGGGTCAAGTTAGCTCACACCCTTTGATCTAGCCATCATACTTCTAAGGTACCAGCCTGTAAAAATACTTGTAAATGTGCAAAAGATAGATTAAAAAGAATGTTTTTATAGCATTATCTGTAATGGTAAAGAAAAAAAGAAAAACAACTGTTAATCCCAAGATTTATGTGGGAAGAGTTGAATAAATTATATAGTACACCTTACTATGGAATTCCCTCAGCTATTACAACAAAATGACTTCTATTGGGGCGCATGGGTGGCTCAGTCGGTTGGGCTTCTGACTTCGGCTCAGGTCATCATCTCACAGTTCATGAGTTCGAGCCCTGCATCGGGCTCTGTGCTGACAGCGTGGAGCCTGGAGCGGGCTTTGAGCTCTGGGTCTCCCTGTCTGTGCCCTTCCCCCACCCCTGCTCACCCTCTGTCTCTCTCTCTCTCTCTCTCTCAAAAATAAATAAACATTAAAAAAATATTTTAATGACTTTCTATTGAGTGTGGCTGGGGAGGTCAAGTTGTAGAATAATATGTACAGGATGACTTCATTTTGTGAAACATCAAGAACACATGCACATACAGAGAAAAAGTAATCATGGCTGTCTCTGGACAGTGGAACTGTCACTTGTTACTCTATATACTACTGCATTTACAGTAAGCATATATTACTTTTGTAGCAACAAAAAAATAAGCTCACTCTGTAACATTTGGATTAAAAAAACAACTGTAAGGAAACAGAAAAAAATGATGCGAAATGTCACTAGACAAAGGCAATTATTATTAACCCGTCAACACTTTTTCAGTCTCTGCTATGCACATTAAACATATCTGAGATCTTCCTCTATGTAGTTTGGGGCTTGTCTTTCAATTATTGTTAAATTGTATTTTCCCTGTAGGAAATTTAGAGAATAAAGAACTACAAGAGAATAAAAAGCCCATGTATTCCAGCCACCCAGAGATAACTGCTTAAGAAATACCATGCAATTTGAATTCACCGAATTGTATTATGAGTAATGAACGCACAGTGTCTCATCGATCTATGCATGGCCCGCTTTTATTTTTATCCATTAACTTATTGGATTTAATTTTCATAATCGTACAATTCTTAAATAGTCAATGGTATGCTTTTAATTATATAAGGAACACCCACCCACCCATTGAACCTGAGTGCTAGAATATGGACGATAACTTCAATCCACTTCTATGATCTTCTCCTATTCCAGCCCCTTTCTTCAGTCCCAATGACCATTATCCCAAAGTTTTTATTGATTCTCCTTTGCTTTTTAATAAAATATTTTAAATCCCAAATATATATGTGTACCTAAATAACACAGTGTTTAGTTTCACTTGTTTTTGAATAATATAGGAAGGACATCCCATTATATGTGCTCTTCCGGGACTTGATACCTTAATTTAACATTATAGAAGTACAATCTACCCATATTATTATGTTCAGCAGTAGTTCATTTCTCTGCTGTATAATATTACGCTGTGTAAATATACCACAATTTACCCATTTTCCTCTTGGGACTTTTACCACTGACATAGTAGTGTATATTCTTCTGGTCATTTTTCAGAGGACATTTATATAGTTTGCTTTCTAAAGATTTGACTGTTATACATACTTCCATGTGACCTGTTCCTCTCACTAATGAGATCTTGTCAACATATTCCTATTTCAGTGAATATTCTTCTGTGGTAGAAACTTAAATGGCTGCATAGTACTCCGTCATAGAGTTACCATATAATTTTATTTAACCACCCCCGATTCTTGGACATCTTGACTGCTTATGGGTTTTTTGCTCTGATAAGCATTATGATGTACATATCCCTTAACTCAGCAACTCTCCTTTAAGAATTTATCCTAAGTGATACCTGAACAAATTTGCACACAAGCATGTACAGGGCCACCATGGAAGACGACACAGTTTGTGTTCTGCACAACTTGTGTAATGTATGTGCTCATCACAGCAGTTTTTAGAATACAAAACAACTAGAAAGAACCTGATGCCCGCCAATAGGAGATATTAAAGTTACATATTAAAATTAGAACATAGACTCACAGTCACTGACATGGCAAGACGTTTATAATTTATTGTTAAGGGGAAAACTGGGTTAAATATAAGTATGATTCCATTTTGTAAAAGAGAATAAACATACCTGTGAAAGAGGGTGGAAAAATATACACCAAAAACCTTATAGAAATTATCTGTAAGTATTGAGTTTATTTGAGATCTTAACTTTTTTCAATTTGGTCTCTTTCATTTTGAAGTGTTTTCAACAGTAAAACTTGATTACATGTATAATAAGATGAATAAATAATGAACGTTTATGCACAATCATTTAAATATTTTTCCTGAATATAAAATACTTTCACACTGTAAGAACTTTGGGAGAAAAAAAAAAAAAGAACACCAAGAAGTACACACAAGTCACACATAAACGTACCCACCTAGAGATAATTAGTTCACAATCTCCAATATGTTTATTTCTAGTCATTTGTCTCTGATTATATATATTCAAGATAATTGCAATCACACTTTATATAATCTTGTGTGCTGATTTTTCACTTAACATTATATAATATCAACATACCACAAATATTTTAATGAAAGAATATTCCATCACATGGAAATAGCACATTTACCTAATCATGCCCTTAAAGTGAGACCCTTAGGTTTTTCTGTTTTTCACTATGCCAAGTACTATGTGAGGAACATCTTTGTGCATGAATTATCTGCATTTCAATGAAATAATTTTAAATGAAATCTTGAATAGATTCACTGAGATGAAAATATGAAGTCAAAGAGTACCAACATTTTTATATCCCTTGATATATAGTGCCAAAACTATACTTACTATACATACATTTTTTAAGGCAGCATGGAGTAGTAGGGGAAAAAAGAAGCCAAAATACACGGATCCCATGCCCATCTTTAGTACTTGCTGTTTAACCTGATTAGGGAAAACTGATATAAAACATCCATCTTACTAATCAAATGAGAAAATAGATCCTTCAGTCACCATAAATGTTACTTCCTCAGGAATGCTTTCCTTAACTTTCCAGACTCTCACAACATCCTATACTTACTTTTCCTTCATGGTCTTGCAACAACTGATAGATAATTGTTCAATTATTTGTACGCTGTCAGTTTCCCCTAGGTGATTTTGAGCTCCATTAAACTATTCCTGGCACACAGTTGGCGCTCAATAAACATTTGTTGAATGAATGAAGACATGGATGATGGATGAAATGATAGCACTTTGCAAAATAAATCATTAGACATTTGGAAGGTATTTCAATTTTAATAATAATTATTATTCATTTGTATTACCATGTAGACAATTCTAGATCTTTAGGGATCCCTTGACCAACCATAATTTCATTATGTAGCTTTAATGCTTGTCATGTCACCCAGAGGCATGGTAGCAATATTGCTGGAAGCACCTGTTAGGAGGTGAGACTTGGAGAACCAAGTAGTTAGTTCTCTAGGTCAGCATGCTGGGGGTTAGGGAGTTGTAGTTACCATTAGTTGAACACAAGACAGTAGTCAGGAATCCAGGAGGTCAATGATATGTGAAGAAACAGGTAAATCCTGGAGGTCAGAAACAAACTAATGATAAGTGGTCTATATAGTAAGGTAAAACTGGAGAATGGTCAGTGGTAAGACACTGAAGTTGATGGGAGGGCCAAATTCCAAGCACCAGGATTCAAAGCATGGACTTATGAATATGATTCTAAAGCAAACGGCTCTTGAACTCAGTGCTTCCTTATTTCTGCCCAAATTGAAAACGGTATCAGGAAGTGTTTGTGCCTAGTTCCATACACATGGGCAAGGGAATAATAGTAAATAGTTGAGGAATGAGATCTGTGGATACAAATATGTTCTGATAGTGACAGGAAAAAGTGAGACCATTTGGACATAAGATCTGATAATAGTCTGCACATAAAACGGGAGCAATCACGCTTTGGATCCCATAATTCTCATCTTGACTTTCAGCAGCAGATATTATAGCATAGCAGTTAGGATCATGGGCTCTGGTCACAAGCTAGCTGAGTCCAAATCCCAGCTTTCTCATTTCACTTATTAGTTGTGTCCTTTGGACAAGTTACTTCACTTCTGTGTGTCAGTTTCCTCATCTGTAAAACGGAGATGACAGCACCTACCTCAATGGGTTCTTGGGAAGATTAAATGAGTTGATGCATGTTACAACCTTAGAACAGTGCCTGGACGTAGCAAATGCTATGTCAAGTGTTATTATTATGATTACTATTATTATTAATTGGTCACATAAGACCAAACAAAAACTGGTGTTAAAAGAAATGGATAAATACACTGTATGTTAACTCTAATAAACAGTCTCTAAACAGGATTTTTTTCATTAAATAAGAATTTCACTTGCACCTAAACATAGTTGACTATATGAAACCTATAAGCATTAGGGAGGTAGCAAAATTTCTCACAGCAATCCCATCAGTGTGTTTATTTTCCAGAGGCTGTTTTATGAACACTATCTTAAAAAATTGTAAAGCATAAATACATATTTACTAATAGCAGAAAACACTATTAAGCTACAATACAGTTAATCCATAAAATCTGGTCTGTAAGAAGGAACACCTTATTAAATTTTTTGAGGCTAAATCTACTGTAGGCAGGATTACTTGTGTTGGAGGGCCTGTCTGTAGAAAGATCTGAACACAGAAAGGCTTGGACTTGGGAAGACTAATTTTAAAAAGGTCTGGACCTGGGGAAAGGTCAGAAGACCTGGACTATGGAACATGTTAGAATACCTGGATATTGTAGACACTGGAAGACCCAATGTTAGAAGACCGGCACTCTGGAGACGTTGGAAGATGTGGATATTGAGCCCCCTGTTGGAAGACTGGGTAGTTGTCGGAAGACGTGGAGATGCTGGAAGACGTGGAGTTGCTGGAAGATGTGGAGATGCTGGAAGACGAGCAGATGCTGGAAGCCCTGGAGATGCTGGAAGCCCTGGAGATGCAGGAAGACGTGGATTTTCTGGAAGACGCGGCTTAGTTGGAAGACGTGGATTTGCTGGAAGACAAATTTGTTGGAAGACGTGGGTAGGCCGGAAGACATGAATTTGATGGAAGACACAGCCTTGTTGGAAGACGTGGATTTGCTGGAAGACATCGATTTTCTGGAAGACGTCGATTTTCTGGAAGACCTGGAGGTCATTGGAAGACGTGGATTTCCTGGAAGACATGGATTTTCAGGAAGACCCGAGTTGTCTGGAAGACCTGGATTGTTTGGAAGACATAGATTTGCTGGAAGACCTGGAGGTTCCTGGAAGACATGGATTTTTTTCCGGAAGACGTGGGTCTCTAGGAAGACATATATTTGTTGGAAGACCTGGATCTAGTGGAAGACATAAATTTTCTGGAAGACGTGGCTTTATTAGAAGACCTGGATTTATTTAGTGGAAGACATAAATTTTGTTTGGAAGACGTCGATTGACTAGAAGACTGGATTTGGTGGAAGACATGGATTGGTTGGAAGATCTGGACTTTTCTGGAAGATACGGATTTGGTGGAAGACGTATATTTTTCTGGAAGACATGGAGTGAGTGGAAGACCTGGATTTCTTTCTGGAAGACATCAATTGACTGGAAGACCTGGATTTTCCGGAAGACATAAGTCAGCTGGAAGACTTGGATTGATTGGAAGACTTGGATTTGGTGGAAGACAGTTTTTTTTTCTGGAAGACATGGATTGGCTGGAAGGCCTTGAAATTGCTGGAAGATGTGGATTGTCTGGAAGACCTTGAAACCATTGGAAGACATGGATTTTCTGGAAGACGTGGATTTTCCTGGAAGACGTGGATTTTCCTGGAAGATATGGGTTTTATGGAAGACCTATAATTACTGGAAGACGTGGATTTTCTGGAAGACATGGATTATCTGGAAGACCTTGATGTTGTTGGAAGACTTAGAATTTGTTGGAAGACTTGGAGTTGCTGGAAGACCTGGAGTTGTTGGAAGACCTTGACACTGGCACCATTGGAAACCCTGGACATTGGAGACATTGGAAGCACAGGATATTGGAGACATTGGAAACCTTAGATTTTGTGGACATTGGTTATTCTGGACGTTGGAGACTTTGGAGAACCTAACTGTTTGGAATTCATGGGTATTGGAAGCCCTGAATACTTAGAGGCATTGTAAGTCCTGCACCTTGGAAGCCCTAAACATTGGAAGATATAGACAAGGGAAGATCTAGACATTTAGAAATCCTAAAATTGGAAGCCCTGGGTATCGGGAGATATTTGGGAAACCTGGATATTGACATATTCATGTTAAGACACAGAATTTGGAAGCTATAATTTTCATGATGCTGGAAGTCAAGGACGTTGGCAGCCCTAGACATTAAGAGACTTGGACAGTAAGATGTCAGGATGTCAAAAGACCAAGTCATCCAGACATTGGGGATGTTGGAACACCTAACCATTGGAAAACCTGGTTCTTAAGAGATATTGGAAGACTTGGGCAGTGGAAGAACTGGTGACAATGAGACATTGTAAAATCAGAATTTAGGAGACACTAAAAATTGTAGGAACCAAATGATGTGAGAGCTAGAAGATATTAGAAGAGCTGCACTAGGACACAATAAAACGTGGACTCTAGAAGACGTGCATATATGGGACACTGGAGGATTGGGAACATAGAGAAATTGGAACTTAGAACTCTGGACCCTGAGACAAGACCTGGAACTTGATGATTGATTATTGGAGAAAGTAGAAGACCTAGAGTTTTAATGTCCCCGATGATGAGGAGATTAGAAAACCCTGGCATTGGAGATGCTTCAGGCCAGAGAGTGGAAGATGTGGGCATTGTAACATTTAGAAGATCTGGCAATTGGAGATGTTGGAAGCTGTGAAGCTCAGAAAACCTGATGTTAGAGATACTAACGAATCAAAAGGCCTAATCTTAGAGATACTAGAAGGTCATGTTGGAAGATATTGGCAATGTTGAAAGACTTTCACATATGGACCTGATGTGACATTTAAAGACATATGATAAGGCTACTCTAGTAGTCTTTATAACTATGGCATCTCTCACTAAAAAGCAAAACACAGAGAAAGGACATCTTAGGAAGATGACAAAGAGGAAGCAGGGAAATTCAAGCGAAAGCAAGTAGTTTGAATGGGTTGGAACCTATTTTCATAGTCCCAGTGAACTAGCCTTGTATTGTTTGACAGGATGTGAATGAGGAATTATCAAAGATGAAGGAATATCCAGCTTGGAGAACTACTTGACTTTAAATAGGAGTCAGCCAGCCAACGTTTTCTGTAAATAGTTAAGATTTTGCGGGCCATATGGTTTCTATTGCAACTACTCAATTCTATCATTATAATGTAGCCATAGGCGATACATAAATGAGTGGGCATGGTTGTGTTGCAATAAAACTTTTATTTAAAAAAAGTTGGGCCAGTTTTGACCCAAAGGCCTTAGTTTGCCAGTTCCTGCTCTAGATGCCAAATCTAGGGTATAGTAAGTATATTAAGTACATCCCAGGCTAGCATTCACATGCAAAAGAGTGTGTAGAGCAATTTGAAGCCCAGTGGTAAATAAAGATACCATGTATGTGATGATGCTCAGGATAGGCGGCTAGCAAGAACCTGAGAATGGAGTTTAGATCTCCACTTAATTATTCCAGGGGCACAACAAGAATATTTGTATTTAGAGCCAAAATTGAATGGGTAGCATTCAGGACCCCAGGCAAACGGGGCTGGGGTTCAGTGAGGATACCCTAACTCGATAGGCTGGAAGCTTAAAAAGAATATTAAAGAAGAAAGTCACGTTTACACACCAGGGTTATCCTTCCAGGACTAAGCACCGTTCATCCAAAGAGAGAGAGTCCCCAGCCCAGGGCAGAGAATAAGTGGCAAAGCCTTCACTCTGTGTCCCATATTCTTCTCATTAGGACACTCATCATGCCACCGCCAATTAATCAAGAGCCAAGTCTAGGTGTTCGTAATAATGGAGGAGAAGAGGAAGGAGACTACAGCTTTGAAGTCTCATCTCAGGCACTCTGGCTTCAGGTAATAAGTCTAATTTCTACTCTTACCCACCAGAGCTTAAGCAACAAACATAAGAGATCAGGGTTGAGTTGTAAGCTGAAGATCTTTAGTACTTAGGCAGGGCTGAGGAAGACACGGGTGATCACAGACACTGTAGGAAAGAGAACACCGGCCGGCAAAACTGGTTACAATACGCTGGGACCGGGTCATGATTTAAAGGTTGAGTAGTGGAATATATAGACAATGGGCAGCCACTGAAGGATTTTGGACAAGGAAGTACCAGCATCCGAATTGTACACGAGGAAAATTTGTCAAGCAGCCAAGTGCCGAAGACTACCAGACATAATATACTAGAACATCAAAGACTCCCAGGTTCAAACACTAAAAGAGTTGGGATGTGAGTTATGAAGCCACTATAATCATCCAGGCTAAGTGGTAACGGGGGCTTGAACTGAGGCAGTGACAGCTCTGTTACCCAACAGATCCAGCATTTGGATGATGATGAACACTCAGCATTCTGGAAAGCATGATGCTAAGTTTCTTGAATGCCATCACAGAATGCATGAAATAGCAAAGATGTTCAGAAGCGAGTTATGCGGAATTGTCCTCCCCTCGTAAGAGTACTTAGATATCCAATTTTCTCTCAAAGGCAGCTGAGCTAATAATTTGGTGGTTTAAGCAAAGTAGGTCCTATAGAGCTTTATTGTTAGCTCCTATTAACACAGAGTGACGTAATTGTCTTAAAAGTGGAACCAAGTGGATGGATTATTTTCTAGAGAATAGGAGTATATCCATGTGAAAAAAGTCATTAAGAGTCATCCGTATATGAATAAATATCATGCAAGGATAACCACTTGATAAATAAAGCACATATAAATGGAGCTGCAGTCAAGGAGTACCACAGGGGCAACGGAATTATCATTTCAAGTATCTTTCACAAGCAAAGAAAAATATTGAAAATCAATTTTTATTCCTTCTCTCTTCTTAAAACCATCATGCATACCATTTTTTGAAGGAAATTAGATAAAATATCAAAATATTAAAATCCTGCAAAAACATGAGTAAACTATCATCTTTAGTTCTATAATGCTTGTTATAATAATAATAGCAACAATTTATTGAGCGCTTACTATGTGCCAGGCACTGTACTAGGCATTTCATATAATCTCATAGCAATCCTATAATGGCAGGTATTTTTCGACCCCGTTTTACAGATTAGAAACTCAAGTCTGAAATGGTTAAAAAGCATGCCCACAGTCACGTAGCTGGTAATTGGCAGGGACAGGATTGAAAGCAACTCTGATCCCCAAACGTAGGCCCCACGCTGACTTGCCACACCCCAATAGCTCAAGGGTGATCCTGCGGGGACCAAGTGCCACTCACGCAAAGAGAGGGAGTCCCCACCCCAGGCAGACAAGAAGCCAATGGCAAAGCCGTCATTTATCTATGTCCCGTGTTCTTCTCATCACGGCCTTCCTCATGCCCCTGCCAGGAAATCAGGAGTTAATTCTAGGTGTTGGCAAAAATGGGTTAATTATATCACGGGCTTTATGCAGTAATGCAAGAAAGATGAAGTGCAATGTCTCGAGCACACTAGATTCCTATTTAATTTCCCAACGTTTGTTGTCCGCGCTAGTGAAATGTCCTATCTGGGCTTTCATCTATTTTCTATGTGATTCTATGGCTCCCAAGAACATATACACTCTGTTCATGCCACAATTTATTTCTGAATTCTTAGATAAACAACCATAGCACATTGACATCAAGACCATTAAAAGGTAACTCTATGTAAAGTTCAGTGATCAATATATTCCATAGCACAAACGTGGTTTGCACACTCTTCGGCTATACACGCCGTAGAAGCCCTTTATTAGCATTCAGGTGGTGGCAGCCGTGTAATCCAAATGTGTGGTTTAAAGAGCCTTGGCTGCATTTTGAACGGAAAAGATTTTAAACAAACAAAGGGCTCTTTTTAAATGTAATACCAGTTTTCTAATATTCTCTACAAGTTTCATCAACCTGGGCTGCCCTTTCTCCCCACCTCCTTTTCCTTTTCTTATCTTTTTCCAGTGGTTAAATATGTCTGTAAAGAAGGAAAACTCCATGCATTTCATAATAGTGAACACAACAATTTACCTGAACCATTTGACAAGAGGAAGATTCTTTTCACCCAAACTGTGCATACAACCTTCTAAAAGAAATTTCAGCTTGTCAATTTTGGGGACTATTCTTAATTTTAAAAAGAAAAAAGAAACACCCATTTGCATGGCAATGTTGTCATTCATTTCTATTTCTACCGCTTAGGTCTATACCAACTTTCAAATCCACCTGTAAGTTCTGCTGACTTGTTAAACTCAGCCATATTGAAATGTTCTAGATTTTATCATCATCAATGAAACTTCTTAGATTATTTTAACTGGATATTGCATTAAACAAGAATTAGATTTATCTCAATTATTTTATTTCAAATGGCCTGGTCCCTAGACAAACATTTCCACCTCTCAAGGCAAAGTCTAGGCATTTCTGTGACAACTAAACTGATATAATAGTTGGTTTCCCATTGCATTATTTTTATATTAATGGTTCCTGGTTGATGCTGTTCAACTTAAATTTGACTTCTCTAACTCTGGTCAAATTTAAGAGAAATAAAATGGCAAGGCAGTAATCTCAAGAAATGGTAAAATTCTCAGGAAACCGCATTCTCTAAAGGCATATGGAACCACTGATATACTGGTAAAAGAGTCATCGACTTAAAAATATTTACCTCTTGATATGATTAAGAATGTACCAATTATCCATGGAACCTTGAAACAGTAACCATACAGAGTTCTCTGCTTTGGTTTATGAAAACAATAGATACAACATGTTAAGATGTTTTACTCATAATATCTATGCATTATTATTTTCCCCAAGCCCTGTAACTCAAGAAGAAAAATCGCCATTAACACAAATAAGAGACTCATAGGAGGTCCTCTCTGTCTTTCTTTTCAGGAAGTTGATGCCATGTTTGTTTCTCGTTTTTCTATGCCTAACTCTCTTTTCTGGAAGACACTAAAACATGGTAAAACTTGAACCAGGAGCACGATTTTTAAAATAACAGGAACACAGTACAGTAATGCTGCTACTTACCTTGGTCTCTATGAAAGGGCTCAGGCACACTCACAATCAACCAATGAGGTTGCTGCACCTTTCTTTCAAGGTGCAGAGAGAGAGGGACCTTAGAGACCAAGTGGTCCTATTTCACTTGACAGATAAGGGAAAAGTAGGGTGATTTGAATAAGACCATCCATTGAGTTAGTGGTGGAGCTGAAATTTAGAATCAGGGTTTCCTAGCTGCTGGGCCCACTAGCATTTGTATTACATTTTCTACTAGAATTCTGTTCAGACTGAGGGCAGCAGTTAACAACCGTGGCTGTATAAAACATCGGTTGAGGAGCTTTAAAAATATACAGGTGCTGCCCCCGTCCCTGATTCAGTACATCCAGGGGCAGGTCCCAGAAATCTGTGTTTTTCAAAGCCCCCCAACGTGATTTTGATGTGTCGAGAACTACTGTAAGGCGAGGGAGTGAGCTCCTCTGGCACTGTGGCGGGCCGCTAGACCCACAGCACCTGAAAATGAGTTTTCAACTCTCATCTGCCTCTTTTGAACCTGTTGGGGAATGCCTGATATGTCAGCTGTAACTATGCAAGCAAGCCCTTTTAACTCTTGGATTTTCTTCCCTTTCCTCTGACCACTTCAAACTCAGATATAGGTAAGCTATCATTCAAACCTTCAGCCGCCGAGGGTGGTGTGGATCATTGGATTTCTACCACCTTTCGGGAAGAAGTTTCGATATCCCTTTCCCAGAGGGTATTTAAATATGCAAATCACCGGGAAGACCAGATAGGACAACAGAGAGGATCAATGGAGATGAACTCTGGCAGGTTTTACTCCTTGAGTAGATACCAAGAGTAAATCCCAGAATGCATTTTAAACGCACTGCCTTAAAGACTGACCAATGGCTACATCTACAACTGCTGGAAAACAAATTAACTGATACCAAACGAATGAGTCGAGATTCTTTCTGTCAAAATGGCAAGTTAGGCTTAAGTAAGATTAAAATAAATGTCAGTATCAAGAGTACAAAGTCAAGTTGTCCAACCACATAGAGTAACCCCCCTCCCTACGTATTAGAGTTGACTTCCTGGAACCCTCACTGTAGAGGAATCTGTGTTGGGGGGCCTTATGAGCCTCGGGGGGGGGGGAATTGCAGCAGGGAAGTGGGTGTTATGACAGCCCAGACACTTGGTCTGTTCGCTGAAATAAGACACTAAGTAAAGTGAATCTTGTTGGTATTTTACTAATTTCACATCAGTAACAGTGATGACTGGGCAACCGATTTCTGCTTCTCTCTGATCTCAAAGTCAGGACAAACATGCGTCAGTGAAAATGCTGGTCATCACAGTAGTGATAGGGAAAGAATCAAGACAATTGGGTTTTGTCTGGAGAGAAGTAAGCTCAACCTTCCGTTCTACTTTCCTCTTCCAGCACTTGGATCACCACATCATCAGAGCTGTTGGAGTCTGAATCCCAAGGTTCAACTATCTGTGTGTGGCCTTTCTGCCTGCTGTTTGTAGAATGGGTTTGAATGACATGGCCCGAAGGTCCAGCCTCTTCTTCCCTGTTGAAGCAAACAGAGAGAAAGACTTATTGGCCTTCATTTGAAGGTTTCTTATTACTGCTTTATAGGGTTGTGGGTAATCGTTTAAATCTTGCCTTCAGGTCAATAAATATTCCATCGAAAGATCTCTCTCCTCTGAATCATCACAGCAATTTGACTTGTGGAACAGCTGCTCCTACATTCTTTGAGTTCTGGATGTTAACCTATGCTGACCTGTGGTATCAACTTTTGATGTGATCACATCTCTGAAAAAGTTCTGAACTATCTTCTGAGGGTGAGAATCTAACACTTCAGCAAAATGTCACTTAAATCAATGTCTTCAAATCCTTCACCACCCAAATGTTTTGCAGATGCTACAACCTTTTCAATTTCGTCTACCACTGGGAGAAAACTTTCAGAGTCCATTACAGCCTCATTCCCAAGTTTGTGCCAGGCTCCATTAAGGGTTGCCTGTGTTATTTCTCGCATTGATTCTTCCACTATTGTTAAAGCATTACAAATGGGGAAATTTTGTCAGGCTACTTTCACAGTCAGTTCTGGCGTCTCTCTCATACGATCTGCAAGGTAATCAAATATACGCCAAGTACAGTACCTCACAAACAATTTTCAGCACTCCCAGCTGCTTGGGTTGAAGGAGTGGAGTTGTACTGGGGGGTGGAGGTGACTGGAACACAAGGATCAGCATTTACTATCGCACTTTTGGCAGTAGGAGCAGGTGTCCAAAAGCAGCAACTTTGAATTCAAGGTTTTTTGTTTTTTGTTTTTTTTTGGTTTAAATATTGTCTAACCTCAGGAATGAAGACTTCAAAAACTGGCCCAAAAAGAGTTTCTCAGTGATCCCTACTTTATGGTTTCCCTTCATGTAAACAGAAAAGTGTTTCTAGCATTCTCTTTTAAGAGGGCAAGGACTTCGCAATCTGTGAAGCAATGTGGGTTTAATCAATCACCAGGACCGTTGGAACGAAACGGAACTTTGAGCTTGTCCTTTCCAGGCTTGAAGCCTCTGGTCTTTTTCTCATCCTCTGCAAAAGGTGTGCAAGTAGGCATGTACTTCCTGAACAGGGCCATTTCGTCAGCACTGAAAAAGCAGCCATTTCCCTCAATCCGTTCCCTCAGGTATTCAGGGTAGTCAGCAGCAGCCTCACGATCTGCTTCCTCTGCCGACCATTTCTTTTCAGACAGACCACAGCATTTCTTAAACCTAGCCAACCACCCTTTACTCACAGTGAATGTGGTAACCTTTTGTCCAGATGAAAATTGAAACTTGCGTTTTTGTGATGCTCGCTGGCAGATTACGCATACAGGAGGAGGCCTATGCAGCGCTCTCTGGGTTAGAAGCCACACGTGCACATCTTTTCCATGGTCTCTGTGTTGGCATTTCACGTTATGTATGATGTTCTTGATGATTCTAGTGTGCCCCTCGATTGACTGGCCCTAATAGCATCTTATTTTTATTGTGCAAATCATAGATTTATTAATGCCAAAAAAAGGAAAAAAAGGGCCCTAGAGAGGTCTTGGTTTCACCATTATTGAGCATTTCGAGAACTTTCATTTCGTTTGCTGCAAACATCACTTTTCTTGCCCTCTTTGCTCTTCTAGCATCTGCACTCTTGCTTTTCTGCTTGGGTGCCATTCCTACCCAGACTCAACGCAAATTTCTAATTAGTGACAGTTTTAGATCACTGAGCAGTACACGACACTAATTCGTGATACGCACGAAGCAAATGACAACATTCACAAGACAAATAAAAACAGCAAAACGGCTTTTGCGTGACAACACGTGTGTGTGCTCAATGGCTGCAGAGGGGACAACAGGCAGAAGAACAAGGGCAGAAGCAAGCGACCCGGGTGTCGGTCTCGTCACATGAGACAGTCAGCAGGATAACGTGATGGCGACGTGAACTTGCATGCTGTTCCAAAACTCTCAAAGGCGCAGAGTAGGCAAACTCCAGTTTTGTAGGAAAATGACTTGCAGTTGTGAAGGGATCGCGGAAGTCAGGAGTGAAGGTCAAGTCTGCCTGTCTGGGATGAGAAGCACAAATAGCACCAGCTAGGAGAGAGCAGACACAAAAATAGGAAATGAAGTCAGGAACAGAGGCAGATTGCCTAAGTAGCTTTTACATTAGCGAGGAGAACATGAACTTGGGATAATAATAATATATGCCAACCTGCCCTTACAGAGGCTGGACCAATTTGTATGCTTACCAACAGTGGAGGAGAGCCCTCTTCTCCCATATGTTCACCAACATGAAATATTACCAATCTTTGTCATTTGCACCAAACAGAAGGTGAATAGCAAGGTATCTCAGTTTTGTTTTAATTTTCATTTCTTTAATCATCTTTCCATATGGTGAGCCATTTCTACTCCATCTTTAAATTGTCCGTTTATATCCTTTGCCCGCTCAAAAATTTTTCTCCTACTGATTTGTAGGCACTATTAGCATATTAGAGAACTCTCCTTTCCCTTTTCGTTTTTTTAAAAGTTTATTTATTTTGAGAGAGAGAGAGTATGTGTGTGTGTGTGTGTGTGTGTGTGTGTGTGTGTGAGAGAGAGCAGGAGAGGGGCAGAGAGAGAGAGAGAGAGAGAGGGAGGGAGAAGCTCCAGCAGGCTCCAGACCGTCAGTACTCAGCCTGACACAGGGCTCAAACCCATGAACCATGAGGTCATGACCTGAGCCAAAATCAAGAGTCAGATGCTTAACCGACTGAGCCACCCGGGCGCCCCTACGGAACTCTTATTTTAAACTCTATGCTGCAAACATTTTCTTTAAGCCTGCCATTTACTTTTTAATTTTGTCTTTTGCCATAAAGACGTTCAGATATTTATGTAATCAAACGTTTCATGCCTTGCTTTGAAAAGCCTTCGCCTCCCTAAGATGATAAAAATATGTTCACGTATTTTCTTCCAATATTTTTATAGTTCTGTGGTATTATTTCAAGGTATTGAGGAAAGGAAGGATTCCTTGATGAATGATGGTGGAATGACTGACCATCCAGCTACAAGAGTGTCAGGCCTCTCTCGATGGCACTTCCCCTCTGTACGGGAGACAGGAGTTCTGGCAGACTCCGAGCCCCACGCTGATTCCCAGTTGATGGCTCAGCTTTCTCCGGAGGTCACTATAGCTCGAGGAGGGGAGAGTAATGAATAATTAATTACTCTATATTTTTCTGGCTTAAGTTCTGTTCTGCTACCGGTCTATACTCCTGACTTCTGTCAGCTGAGGGACAGTACCAAGTTCTCAGATCTCTGATCTGCCAATAATCGCGTCACTCATAATTCACAGTCAATCACAGTTTGGGCACGACTGGAGGAATCTGGATATGAGTAGGCTGTCAGGTAGAATAGGTGACTGCCGTTGACTTTATTAGGTATAATAACGGAACCGCGGTAAGATAGGTGAATACTCACTTTTGAGGGTGGAGAACTGAAGCAAATACACATATAAACTAGTCACTTATTTTATCAAAAATGTTAATTGTTAAATCCAGGTGCTTGGCAAGTGGGCATTCACTTCACTACTTTATTTCTCTGTAGATTTGAACACTCATAATAAAAAGTGTGTGTGTGCGCATGCACATGTGTGCATGAGGTAATAATCTCGTATTTCATGGCTACATTTTAGGTACCATCACGTCTCTGTCAGTGACTTTTCAGGTTAAATACAAGATTAAGAATTACAACTAAAGAGAGGCGCCTGGGTGGCTCAGGTTGAGCGTCCGACTCCTGATTTCAGCTCAGGTCACGATCTCATGGTCATGGGATCAAGCCCCGCGTCAGGCTCTGCATTGACAGCACGGAGCCTGCTTGGGATTCTCTCCCTCTCTCCACCACTCGTACTCTCTCTCAAAATTAAATAAACTTTTTAAAAAATACAACTAAAGAACAACTGATCACTGGAGGGGAATCACTTTAATGAAGTATTTTCCCCCCGTTAAATCAATAGATTAAATACTGAGGCATCACACAGCCTGAATCCCAGTATCAATTTAAAGGTATGAGACCAATTTCCAGGTCTCCTTTTTCCCTACCAAACTGGAACAGAAGATTTATGGCAATTTAATCCAAAAAGAGATTATCTGAAACTTGGGACAGCTCAGCTTCATAATACTAATAGCAACTCTTTTCCACACTGTACAAGAGATGGAGATTTATGAAAGGAAATCAGGAGCAAACAAGAGGATAAAAACTGATAACCCAGGGTAGGGAGACTGACTACTTATGTGCGTAACCGAATCACTGGGTAAAACTTCATTCGACCAACTTTCAAATGAGAAAACACATTTCTACCCACAAAATTCACTTTGGGTCAGCCTTTCACCCTGTGTCCTTTGACCTTTTGCTAAGGGACATGTCACTTTTGTAAGACACTGGCACCAGGCCAGTGTGAAGAATAAAGTGTCTGAAATAAACGTCCTCCGTCACCTTTCAGTTCTGCGAGTTGTGCAGAGCTTCGAGGCGGTTAGGACGCTATCAAATAACGGTATAACCAAGTGTTCCTCTTCTCAAGGTATTATTCCAAAGTACATTTATCTAAAGGGTTGAGAGCATACCATCATGCATCCGGCCCTGTGAGTCCAAGGAAGCCTGATATGCTGTCGAACGAGAAATAAAGCCCGATTGAGCTTTGAGTTGAGGCTCACGTGGCTCAAGTGCCCAGAAGGGCAGGAGCGTCTCAGGATGTTGATTCTGTCAGCATTTCAACAATGGGGAAAAATAAAGGATTTCTAAAAGTGCCACACCCTGTGAGGATTTGAACAGCCAAACAGGATTGAGCTCCTTTGAAGCTTCTGTTATGAAGGGACATT